TAAATAACAAGAATATAGAATAATTCGAGGAAGATTGAAAGCTCTGTGTAGAAGGAAAAATAGATACCACAATGTGTTGAAATTAAAAGAGATAAAAGAGAAGTTTAAAAACAAAGAGGTGAGGTCGTTCTATCAAGAAGTTAAAAAGATGGGAAAAGGTTACCAAAGCCACTGTAATTATATGAAAAGTAAAGACGGAAATTTAATTAGCGATCTGGCAGAAATAATGACGGAATAAAAAAAACATTTTGAAGAATTATTAAATGGTGAGGTGGACCACGAAGCAGTAGACAACTAGACGGTTGGAGAAGATGAGATAGTTGAAAGGCAGCCTACGGAGGAGGAAATGGTGACAGGAATACCAGAAATGAAAAATAACAAAAGTCCTGGTAAAAATGACATATGCATAGAAATGATCAAGTTTGGTGGAGAACAACTACAAAGAAAAATATATCAGCTACTAGTGCAAGTATGGGAAAAGGAAATAATGCTATCGGAGTGGTGTGAGGCCCGTATATGCCCTCTGCATAAAAAAGGAGACAAACTGAAGTGTGACAGCTATATAGGTATAGCCTTACCAGACACGGTATACAAAATCTTGGCAAGAATATTGAGAAATAAACTAAATTGCTACACGAAAATAATCCTACATGAATATCAGACCGGCTTTAAAATGGACAGATCTACTGTAGACCAAATCTTCTCATTAAAGGAGATACAAACGACTTGTTATAAAGGTAAAGTTCACCTGCATGTTCTGTTTGTGGATTTTAGACAAGCATATGATAGAGTCGATAGAGTCAAAATGTATCGAGCAATGGAACATTTCGGTATACCAAAGAAACTGATCCGGCTAGTAAAAATGACATTACATAACTCTAAGCGTGAAATTGCTTGGCAGGGTCACATATCAGATCAATTTACGCTTGCAAAAGGCTTGAGACAGGGAGATCCTTTATCCAATACATTATTCAACTTAGTGTTAGAAACTGTAATCAGAAAATGCAACATGAAGGTGAAAGAAACAATCATGAAAAATTAGCACCAGTGCTTTACTTTTGCTGACGATTTAACGATCCTAGTAAAAACCGAGAAATAATTAAGAAGAGTTGTGAAGAAAATCATCGAAGAAGCACAGAAATTCGGATTGGAACTAAATGAAGACAAAACCAAATATATGATCATGGGAGGGACAGAAGGGAAAAAAGAAGACTTTAGTGTGAGGTCAAGTGGTAAAAGCTATAGTTTTAAAAGGTTAGACAAATTTGGATATTTAAGTGGAGTTTTCGATGAAAATGGAAAAGAGAAATGGGAGCTCGAATAGCAAAAGGGAATAAAAAAATTAGGTAGTTTAAAAGCCCTACTGAAATAAAAATACGTTTCTAGACAAGGTAAACTCAGAATATATAAAACAGTAATTCGACCCATAGTAACATATGACGGTGAGACATGGATATTAAATAAGAAGGAAGAGAATACTCTGGAAAGATGGGAAAGAAAAATATTGAGACGCATATTCAGAGAACGGAAGACAGAAACAATAGCCAGAAAACTAATCGGCCCCAAAAGAAGAGGTAGACCCAGAACGAGGTGGATTAGTAAAGTGGAGGAAGACCTTAAACACGTGAAGGTGAGGGACTGGAAAAGAAAAGCACAAAATAGAAGCGAATGGAGAAATATTGTCCACCAGGTCCTTCAGAGTAGTTAAGAATGTTGTATAAACATATTTAAGTTAAAGTTTTGTTTAAAATAATTGTAATTAGTTAATATTGGGATTATGTGTAAAAAAATGCCCTAGGTCTTAACAGCTGTTGTGCGTAAAAAAAATAAATAGATATTCATTAATGCTCGAACTTTAGGCGTGATTAATATGGAACTCCTTGTGATGTTTGGCATTCCAGTCTCCTGCTACTATGAATTTGGATTCAAGAGTTTATTTGAAATCGTGATACTCTTCTCTTGAAACTGGATGTCTAGGTGGGCTGTAGACTGATGATACACTGAGGGAGGTGTTTGTTTCGATTTTAGTGATTGCTGCTTGAATTTTTTCCGTAATGTAAGGTTGGACTGCATAGTGTTTAATTTTTGATTTAATAATAACGGCAGAACCTGCATGTGCTCCTCCGTCTGGATGGTTTGCATAACACACAGTATAGTAAGGTATCTTAATAACCGTTCATGGTTTTTAGATATTAGTAGAACGTCTATATTATACATTTTTAAAAACAGTTATATCTCCAATATATGGTTTGAAATGCTATTAGCATTCTAAGACGCAATTCGTAGTGACTTGAAAGCTATTTTTTTCTATGTTAATGACTGTAGTTAACATGGTTAAAATCATGCTATTTTATTATTTTATTTTAAGAGTTGAGAGAACATATTTTTGAATTCTTTTAAGAAATTTGATAGTTTATCTAATTTAAATCATGAATGTGTTGCTTGTGTGAGTCCATATCAAATAGGTAAAGAAATAATAATAAGACTTACTCACAATCAATTTAATTTAACAATCTGACGACCGGTTTCGCTTTCTATAATTTGCAAAGCATCTTCAGGTCGAGATACAAAGTTAAACTAATGCTGCAATAAAATAAACCCAATTAGGGTGGTGTCTCATAAAGATAAAATAAACAAATAAATAAATTAGTTCATACAAATTATAGTAATTATGCCAATATTACATGTCTGTGGTTTCAAAATGAATAATTTGAATATATAAAAGGTAGTAACAGACAAGGTAAGGCCCACAATTGGTATAAAGTAGCAATCTTTTGTTGTAATAAATTAATAAATGAGCAAATAAATAAAACAAAACAAAACAAACATTACTTACATGCTAACTACTACTACTAATAGAGTACCGGCATGTAAGTAATGTTTGTTTTGTTTTGTTTTATTTATTTGCTCATTTATTAATTTATTACAAAAAAAGATTGCTACTTTATACCAATTGTGGGCCTTACCTTGTCTGTTACTACCTTTTATATATTCAAATTATTCATTTTGAAACCACAGACATGTAATATTGGCATAATTACTATAATTTGTATGAACTAATTTATTTATTTGTTTATTTTATCTTTATGAGACACCACCCTAATTGGGTTTATTTTATTGCAGCATTAGTTTAACTTTGTATCTCGACCTGAAGATGCTTTGCAAATTATAGAAAGCGAAACCGGTCGTCAGATTGTTAAATTAAATTGATTGTGAGTAAGTCTTATTATTATTTCTTTACCTATTTTTTATCTAATTTATTGGTTATTTTTGTTATCTGAATTTATGTTTCCAATGAGCATGATGTTGGGTAGGTATATTTACATTGGGATTGTAGACACAATTTTGAGTGGTGATTTGTTTTGATTTGTCATGGTACCTGACATTTAGTAGTTCACGATAAACAGAACATCCACTGTAATTAGAAGGATACTCTCCGTTGCAGTTAGTGCAAGTTGCTGGCATGTTTTTTGGTTTCTTCCAGTCCTTTGTGTTGTGTGATCCAGCGCATTTTACGCAATTATATGGTTTTGCACTGTACGTTTTAATGTGACAATATTCTTAACATCGTGTACATTGAGGTATACTTCTTTTAATTCTCGGTGGTTCAACCCTTATTTTATAATGTTGTATGTAGTGTAGTTCAAATATTTCTTTGTTATTCGTTTGAGGCTCGAGGTCCACAAAAAATAATAGTAATGGTTCACGGCTCAGTATGTCTGTATTTTATTTCATCTATCGGAAAAGAGTGATGTAGATCTCGAATAACTGCTTTGTATGCTCTATCTTCCCTAGGTTGGTACCTTTGTATGCTCTATCTTCCTTAGGTTGGTACGTACGGTGGACGTTGGTACGTACGTTAGAATTTTTATTGTGTTGTTTGTTAAGGCTTTAGTGAAGTAAGTTTCTACTTCTACAGCTTGAGCTAAATTATCTATCATTTTACTATAGTCATTCATGCCATATATAAAAATTGGAGGAAGTTTTGAGATTGGTGTATTTTTATTCGTATAGGCGTTTCTTGCTTTCAGTCTGTATGGGAGTACAAATGAAATAGTTTTTGGGCAAGCTACACCTAAATAAAGGTAGCTTTAACATTTGCCAATATCTTATAACACGAATATTAAAATTACCCCCAAAATTTTTATCCTTAAGATCTACAAACGATGCAAAAGATCGATAACGAATGGAAGAAACCTTAACAATATCAAAATTTTCTGTTAGAATTCAAAGATCGGGTATAATAACGAATAAATTATATTTTAAAATGAGTCAAATAAAGTATTTTGACGGTAATCTTTTATTTACTAATTTGAGTAACTTTTTATTTATTGTCTGTGTTAACTTTACCTCATTCAAATGCAAGTTGTGAAAAATAATTTTCAAAAGTAAATTTAGTGCAGGAACCGCTTGGTAAAACAGACACCTTATATGGCATTATGCATTCATTTCACTCAGTATATTTTTAAAAGGGTTGTGTTAATTTTACCCCCTCAGAAATAATGGTTACAAATTTAAATATAACCAAGATATTTATATAATACTTAAACTTATAATAAACTGTAAGACGTTGAGTTCAGATTAACTGAATAATGTCCTTTTTTCACATTGGGTTTTTTCTTTTGAATTATTTTTTTGTTTAATATATTCGTGTATGTTTTCGTTTGTTTCTTTTACAAAAATTAAGTATATTATTTTTCTACCTCGTTAATTTCTTGTTCAATACAATATGAGTAAGTACGATAATCCTTACTATAAAATACCATAATGTGAATAACAAACGATTTTCTAACTTTGATGACCTGGCAACGCTGTTTTGAATATGTTTCTCTCAGTTTCTCATGTTAAAAACCAATACCTACCCTAAATTATTTTCGATATTGTATATGTAGTACTCTCAATTGGTAGTTTTTATTTATTTTCAGCATATTGATCTTGATCAAGATAGCGAAATTGACATCGTTCCTGGTTTACGTCATAGTTTAGGTTCAGCCATCAATATGATCGTCTTTGGAACTTCTTGGTCTAGGGACGATGAACTTTGGAAATGGCTTCAAAATCTCCAAGAAGAAGGTCCTAAACACTTGGGAGTAGCAGGTCCGATTAATTTCCTCCCATTTTTCAGGTAAGTCTTTAGTTAAGGAAATTTAAGATATACTACATAAACTTGAACGTGATAGTTAAACTGTTATCAACTGTTTAGTTAAATGTTAAATCCTCAGAATATCAATTCTGATGGTAGTAATTATATCAGCCAGCTAATCAACTCACTTGGTGGGCCTTCAAATTCTGCTAAATCGTATTTACGATGTAAACTCTCCAATTGGATTTAAAATAACATAACATAAAATCAAATTTGTAGAGTACAGCTTTAGCTTACACCACAATACAAAACTCTAAATAAATGGAGTCCATGTACAAAAGCTAGATCTACAAAAGCTAGATCCTGACGTAGATATAAGACCCACAAGTAGAATAACTAACAATACGTTTTTGAAAATAGTAATATGTCTTTAGGAAAACTATATCAGAAATAAAGTAGAATCATGGACACTCAAAGTAGTAACGATAAATCGAATTGAAGCATTAAAAATTTGGATACATAGGCGAATGCTAAATATTTAGAAATCAGGGCTCGTATTGAAATAGCCAGAACTTTTTAAAAATTTCTCGATATAAAATTAGGAAATAATTTGGTAAAGTGCTACGTATTTTCCGCTTCTGTATGCATAAGTAGATTTAAGGTTATTCTTTTTCTTTCTCTGAATTTAGTATGGTCATTCTTGTTCATTCTTACAACTATGTAAGATTCAGGCTCTGCTATACATTGCAATTTTCTACTGCTCTTTAGCCCATCTTATGATATTCTTTTTTTTTAGGGTAGAAATTTTCTAAAAACCGTATCAGGTTAACACATCCCTAGAGATAGCTGGCGTGAGTTAGATTCTTGGCGATTAGAGGAGTAATATATCAAAGTACAATTTTCCCTAGAAGGAAGTCCTGCAAACAGCAGTTTCTTCTTAATGACAGCTCGGTCATAAATTATGTACACTATTTCATTTGTCCTTACTTTTCTTCCTCTTTGCGATCATCTCTCTCAGAGTCACAGAGCTCATACCTATTTCTCTATAAATTCTGTTTTTTTCATTCAACATACTGGGGCTTAGCAAAATACAATGGCCTAAATCAGAAAAATGTAACACCAGAAATGGAACAATGTATTATTCAGCAACTCCAATCACAGGCAAGGAGTTGGCATTATCGTTGAAAAGAATTCTCAAGGACCTGTTTATAACTTTGTTCCCTACTCTGCAGACAAGGATGCAGACACCATAGAAAACTTCTATGAACAAATTGGCCATATCTTTAAGCTGACTAAAAGACATAATATAAATAAATATTATAATGGGAGATTTAAAAGCTACAGTGGGCAAGAGAGAAGTGGAAAATTGTGTGGGCGATATGTTCATTTCTCGGGAAGAGAAATTAACTTGGCAATATGCTGGTTGATTTCTGTTTTAATGCGGAGCTCATAATTGCAAATTTCTTGTTCAAACTTCTTAACCGTACATTATACAAATGGAGCTTACCAGCTGACAGTAACAACAAAATAATCAAAAATCAAATAAATTATATTATCTTCAAAATAAGATATAGAAATTCTAGAACATCATCCACAATATATCCAGTAGCGGATATATTCTCCGATTACAATGGGGTTGTTTTGTCGATGAAAGTGAAACTAAAGAATGTAAAGCACCCTAGTTCCAAGAAAATCATGAATATAAGACGGCCCAACCAAGACAACATATCAGCAGAAATTAGTTTAAAATAAACGAGAACGAGAAGGAAAGTCAAAAAATATAATCTAGAAACTCTAACTATTGACCAAAAAAATTTAAAACGCCCTTGTGTTAGTTGGGAAAGAAACCCTCAAACCACTTGGGAAAATGACAAAACATTGAATGACAGTAGAAATTCTTGAACTTATGGAAGAAGGAAGAAAAAATAAAGCAAAATACCTGAACAAATACAAAGAATTTCAAAAAAAATCAGAAAAATAATTCGAGAAGCAAAAGAGAGGTTTCTCCGACAAATGCAAGAAAATTGAAAATCTGTATAAAAAGCATGACACCTTTAATTTATACAAAAAAATCAAAGAAATGACAGGTTCTAGAAAAATCATAAGAACAAAAAAATATTATTAAAAATGATAAAGGAGATATTATTACTGATGTGAATCAAAGATTGTGCTACTGGACCAATTATATCCAAAAGCTATTTAATGATGAAAGAGAAGAACTGGCATTAGAAACCCCAGACAATACCGGACCACCAATATTACTGGAAAAATCATCTATGCCATCAAAAACACAAAAGGCGGCAAAGCTACTGGACCAGATGATGTGCCCATCGAATTATTAGAACTCATCGAAGAAGATGTTATTAATCTAATGGTTGAACTCTTTAATCTAATATATCAGACTGCTACAATCTAAAGACAATGGTTGCAATTGACCTTTGTAGCAATACCCAAAAAGTCAAGTGCAATATCCTACTCAGATCACAAAACAATAACTTTAATGAGTCACACACTTTTTGAAAATAATACACAACAGAATTGTAAAAACTCTTGAATATACAATTAGTGACACGCAATTTGGCTTTAGAAATGGTATCGGCACAAGAGATACTTTGTTCAGCTTGATGGCCCAGAAATGTGTGGGCATGAATCAGGACTTGTACTTATGTTTTATAGATTTTGAAAGGACATTTGATAAGATTAAACATGATAAGCTTGTAGATGTATTAAAAAGTAAAAATGCAAGTAATGCAACGCCCTAATGAATGCTGTCATGAGTACGAATAAATTTATATCCGGAATACGGATAAATTTGAAGAAAACTAAATGCATGATCATGACTAAATCAGCAGATGCAAACATCCAATTGATTGTAAAAGATAATGTAATTGAGAGTGTGGATACCTACAAAGAAGTAAGAACATGGATAACATTAAGTGTAAACCAAACCAAAGAAATTATGTCTACGGATGCTTCAGTATTACGTATTTACTACTCGTCTGCTTAGCTTGAAAGTATTGATATTGAAGTGCATCTTGAAGAGGCTTTGACTTTTGTTGAATCATATGTGCCAGAAGAATCATATGAATAGCATGGACTTAAAGAATGTCAAACGTAGAAGTTACTAGAATATTAGGAAGTGAAGATGAAATATTGTTGACTATTAAAAGAAAAAAAGCTAGACTACTTAGGACATATGATGAATTGCTAAAATACTCATTATTGCAACTTAATATGCAAGGCAAAATTCGAGGAAAACGAAATGTGGAAAGACGAAGAATATCTAGCTTAAGAACTTGAGTTAGTGGTTTAAATGCAGTAATCCAGAACTATTTAGAGCAGCAGTCAATAGGGTCCGCATAGCCATGATTATTTACAACCTTTGATAGAAGATGGAACTTGAAGAAGATCGTTTGTCATTGCTTTTATGTATTTCAGCTTAGATCTTTCTTTTGTTATTTCTACTACTGGCACTTGTTTGCTTATTTTGGTTGGTAATTTTCCTTCCCAAATTTCCAAATATGTTGCGTTATGAAACAGCAGCGTGATTTCACGTTTTTACATTTTACTTATGTAATAACCTATCTTCAAAATTATACATGTATTGCTTGTGTGAGTCCATTTCAAATAGATAAAAGAAATAATAAATTTAAACTTACTCACAATCAGTTTAATTTTACTACCTAGACGACCGGTCTCGCTTTCTACAATATGCAAAGCATCTTCAGATCTCGATACAAAGTTAATTAAATGCTGAAATAATAAAACCCATATTAGGGTGTTGTCTTATAAAGACAAACAAAGATAAATGATATAAATTACAGTAATTATGCCAATATTACATGTCTGTCTTTTTTCAAAATGAATTAACTGTTTAAGCAGACAAGGTAAGACCCACAAATTGGTGTAAAATAGTCTATTGAATTGTAATAAATCAGTAAATAAATAAAACATTACTTACATGCCAGGACTCTATTAATTAATAGTTGAAAGAACATGGTCCAAACTATCCTGTATGGTTGAATGGAGAATTTAAGTTTTTGCTATTGTAATTGTTTGACAATAAACAGGGAAGTTCTTGAGGAGATAGATTTTATCCAATGAAGTAGAGATAGGTGTAATGTGATTGTTTGTTAGATGAGAGTAATGTTCTATATTATTGAATTATTTAAAAGTTATTTATATTTACTCAATAGATATATTTATGAAATGTGTGTTATTTATTGAGATTTTAAAGATTTTTAGAGATTTTAAAACTCTACTCCACTCCGCTGGTAACTACTTATTAACTACAGCTCATGTATTGTTTTTAGTAAGATGTCTCCTCCTTCCTTCAGTAGCTTTGATGCTATTTGATCCGATCGCAGTGATTTGTTGTTGTTTTATCTGGCTCCTGCTGTTCTTATCTCGGCATCCTTAGTGGACTCCTTTTCCTGTTGTTTGCTTGGTCTTAATTGTATATCAGGTTTCGCCTCGCTCCTATCTTCTTTAAGCTTTTCCTTAAAATGTACTGTTTACCTTCCTATCTGTTCTTGTTATTCTGTCAATATAATACAGTACCCTCTTTATCTGTACACATTGTTGTTTGTGAGTTGAAATATTATCTGCTTTTGTACCTTCCTTTTCTTTGTTAGCTTACTTAATTCTTGTAGTTCTTGAAGTTCTTTGATCATATTTTTTCTCTTCCTTCTTTGGTAGATTTTCTTTTTTTTCCATATTTTTATTCCTTCTCTGATTGTCGGGTTCTGTACCCATGTCACGTTAGTAAATATGCTCTTTTTTATATTTTTATTGATTTAAATATATCTACTTAATATATTTTTGTTTGCAGATTTTTCCCAAAATACCGTAACATTATATCTTTCATAAAGACAAATCTACACAAAACTCACGAAGTATATCACGAATTAATAAATGAACAAATAAAATTATTACAGACCACTACAGGCAACACATCATTAGATAATGTGGACACGAGCGTTGGGCAAAATTTTATCCAATGTTTTGTGCTGGAAAAACTAAAGAAAACGGATAAAAATATTAAACAGTTATATAGCGATACGCAATTCGTTTATTTGTTAGCAGATATATTTGGAGCTTCGTTGGATACTACATTGACGAGTCTGAGGTAAACTTTACTTTTTTATCAATTAAATAGTTGATTTAAAACATTACTAAAAATTATTTACGAAAAGAAATTAGGCTTCGGCGCATCGGACTTATCTAATTACAGATTACTTATCTGTACAGGGGAAATTATAAATACTTTTAAGCATTAAACTAAAAGGCGGTTCAAAATTACCCTGAGAACAGGCAAGACAATAATAAAAACGTTTAGATTTATATATATATATATATATATATATATATATATATATATATATATATATATATATATATATATATATAGAAAAGAAATTTAATCTTTGCAGATAAGTTAAATAGTAAACTCTTAAATATTGGGGAAATCAGCAAAAAAAAACTCTAATGTGTATCAATTATTTCACCTAACGTTTTCGCCAAAGAGAATTTGGCTTCTTCAGGGCTGAAAGAGAATAAATTATAATTAGCTACCATATATTATCTAATAAAAAACATTTATATTACCGTGAAATTTTAGAAATGTCGAGTTATGATGTTAAAAAGCTTTAGCTAGTAACAAGATAGTGGTGTTTTTTTGTTACTATGTGCAAAAAGTTTATTTGTGAACGTTGGTAATGTTTCCTTTAAATGTAGTTACATTGGGTTTTTCGATTGTCCTTGGGTAAACCTTTGCGTTTTAAGTTCAAAGCTACCATACATTTTCAACGTTCACAAATAAACTTTTTGCACATAGTAACAAAAAAACACCACTATGTTGTTACTAGCTAAAGTTTTTTAACATCATAACTCGACATTTCTAAAATTTCACGGTAAGGTAAATGTTTTTTATTAGATAATATATGGTAGCTAATTATAATTTATTCTCTTTTAGCCCTGAAGAAGCCAAATTCTCTTTGGCGAAAACGTTAGGTGAAATAATTGATACACATTAGAGTTTTTTTTGCAGATTTCCCCAATATTTAAGAGTTTACTATATATATATATATATATATATATATATATATATATATATATATATATATATATATTTATATATATATATATATATATATATATATATATATAATATATATAATATATATATATATATATATATATATATATATATATATATATAATAATATATATATATATATATATATATATATATATATATATATATTGTTGTACTTTTGAATGTCCATTAGCAATAAAAAACCGATATACAAATTTTATTACTTAAATAAAAATTAAAATTATTGATATTTCATAAAGACACGGGCATATAAATTTTCAAACATCCTGTATAAGACAAAATATGTATTTTAAGTTGTTCGAAGAATTGTTCATTAGGCCTCAGAGACAAGACTTTCAAATATTATCGATAAGAAATTTAAATAAGTCGGTTATTGTGGAATGGATTTACCCAGAATAAAAGTGTATATAGACAGTGTTTAAACAATAGACCGGGATTTGCGGTGGTTTTTCTCCCCGAAAGATTATATCGGTAAAAGTTTATTAACAAAAGACATTGAATTGAGAAACAGGTATCGTTTGTAGCTATTAGTAAGAAATATTTGTAAAGCAGATAGATTTAGTTAGAATAATTAAAGAATGTTGTTTTCTGGAATTACCCGAATGACGTTTCATAAAGAGAGTTGGTTGGTAACGATATACGTCACAGAGGTGGATGATTTTTATTGGTCAATTTTTGAATGCAATGGAGGTAGTGGTTTTGGCTATGAGATAGGAGAGAGGAAAAAAGTTAGTTAGTCAGTTTTCGTCGCCCAAGAAGGAAGGAGCTTTGTGGTTTGTGTTTGTTTGAAGTCCCGAAGACGTAATTTACCGGGTGTGTTTATTTGCTGTGTAAAAGCTGATCAGTGTGAGGAACGGGGTACAGAGAGATAGAAAAACCAAAGGGTATAAGAATATTAATATCAGACGAAGCCGGAAACATTTGAAGTTATAAACAGGAGCGGAGATTGACTCAAAAGGAGGCTGTATAGAATTACACGAGTTGTTGGGTTGCAGATACAAGGACAGATAGGAGAAAGGTGTACGTCATCTGGACCACAATAGAAGCAGAAGCAGAGAAAAGTTTTTTTTATGGCGTGGCCATAGGATTACAACGGCAGAGAACGAAAGGTCAGTCAATTTTCATTAGAGCAGGAGTGTGGTTTTCATTTATTAATTAAATAAATTGAATAAATAATAGAGACAGTTAATTTTGCGATCATTTAGAGAAAAAAATTATAAAGAGAGCTTAGTTATAACACATATTAAAAATCAATGTAAAATAACATTGGGTCCATGATAGAAAACAACTTCTCATATATTTCAAGTATTATATTGCAAATATTACAGGATTGATTGTTATATAAAATTTCATTAAAATAAAGGACATCTCACATATAGTTCAGTTGAAATTCTGTGTATTTTATTCAGGTCATATTACCTATCCCAATTAGAAAGCCAATTGGAAAATATTTTGAATCCACGATCAAAGGTAAATAGTACAAGTTAAATAGCCTGAGATTGTAATTAATTAATGCTGATTTATTGTGATTAATTGGAGATTAAATCATTTAATAAATATAGACAAGATCTTTTCTAAATAAGCAATAGAATACAATTTAAATAGCATAGCAATATATATATATATATATATATATATATATATATATATATATATATATATATATATATATATATATATATATAGAACCTTTCAAAACGTGTTTTTTTGGAAATGTGTTTCATAAAATCTAGCACATCTTGCATTAACAAAAGGTCAGACATAGACAAATTGAGCAACATTTATTGTTATTTACTAGAAAAACACCAAAAATAAAATAAAAATTTACCTGTACATAAATTACACCTCTATGTATAATATGTTGCATACCATTAAGACAGGTTTAAAAAGCATAGTTCAAAGATAACATCAATTACACCTAATTACATATTAATTACAGTGTTTACTTTCCATTCTCTGCATGAGTTAATATACACAAGTAAAACATGCTATCAACCAAGTTTTATCTACTATTTTTACAATAAATTTTAAAAATTTTATAATGTATTCTGTCCATAATTGTATATTTTAATGTTTTAATGTGTGTTATAAATGTTGAGTGTAAATGCTTATATAAATAATCTCAACGACTAGTAAGTTACACTGAAGAATTGTGATATTTTTTAAATATTTACATTTTTGTCTTATTACAGTGTCTTGAAAAAGGAATAAAACCATTCCGAAAGCTCGACAAAAAAGTCAAAAGAGTGTTTTTTTAACATCCCGGCCAATATTCTGACTGCAACCCTAATAAACTGTGTTATTTGTATATATATATATATATATATATATATATATATATATATATATATATATATATATATATATATATATATACAAATAACGACGTGTTTTTTAAGTAAGTACCGTTTTGGAATTAAAAAAAGACGTGCAAAGATATGGGAATAAACTGATTTTTACATGAAAGCCTGTACCTTAATCTACTTTGTTAATCTACTAATCTTGCTTAATGTCTTTGCTATTGTTGCCTTTTTCGTGATTATAAACCCCAAGTATTTGAATTTATCCTTTCCCTTGATTGTTACGTTGTCGTCAATTTGTAGATCTTCTATGTCTTTTTCACTTGTAGATAGGTACTCTATTTTCGCTAAGTTGACATCAAGGCCAGCCTTGGTATATTTTTCTTATAGTTTCTTCATCATGTTACTGCTGTCGTCTTGTGCAATCACTACTTGATCGTCTGCATTTCAACATTAATATATATATAAATACAACAGATGCTTTCTATCAGGAGTTTATCTAACTCGGTCTTAAGCACTTCCTTCTTTGCAGGTGACATTCGGTATGGAAACAATACAATTGGTGCACTATTTCCATTATTAATGCGATGCTCTACATAGGATCTACCGCCATTCTTAAGGTATTCTTCCTACTTTCTAAACCATCGTTCCTTCATCCTGTCTTAAATTTTCGCGCCAATAAATTTCAGTAGGTTTTGTACACTTGGCTTCAAAGAACAACTGCTTCCGTGTGCTTTAATTTGCAAAATACCATTTCTTATTATGCAAATCTAAGGCTGTTTTTGCATTGGTCAAAAAATATATATTAAGAATTTTATAAGGTGTATTAGGCAATAATTCACCTCTTACTTGTACATCAACTAACGTTGTGAACAGTCGTTCGTTTCTACTAACACCACCAGCAAAGTTTACAGAAATTTGTGTTGATGTAAACGTTTGGCCTTTATTTTATATAAGGTTGTATAAAGTTACACCCGCTACACTTTATATGGCACCTGTATCGATTAAACCTTGACCTTCGTGACCTAATATGTTAATGCGTAAAACAGGTCTAGATTGAGGTGAAATAAATGTATCTACGAAAGATAAATCCAAAGTGAATGCTTCCATATGGCTGCAAACTGGATAGTTTCCTCTGATGAAACCTGGTTTACCACAATCGTAACAACTTAAAGGGTTGCTTAAGATATTGTGCTGTGAATTATAATGCTCCGACGGTAGCACTAACCGTACGCGAAGAACTTGAAATAACTATAGAAGTCGTAGGCGCATCTTGATCTTTAGATTGTTAAGCAAGTAATTGGTAACAATTTTCTTTAGAATGACAGGGAACACCACAATAACTACAACGCGACCGGTTTTGATACGATTTAGATTTAGGGAGGCTTTCTCCTCCTTAAAACTAGGTTGATGAAAGACATCTCCAACTACGTGATTTTGTAAGCAAATCATTAAAAGTTCCGACTGATTCTCGAAAAATCTTTTCTTTAATATTTTTGTGCAATATTTCGTACACCATATCTAATTGAATCGATTCCGTAAGACTACTAAATTACTTATGGAAAGCAAATGTTCGTAAGGCCCTTATTTTGCGTCGAACGCAAAGTATACAAATGTTTTGCATGTATGAAAATAAAACGTACTTGCCAAATCGCTGGTATGTAAAAATTACCTCCAGGACCTTACTTTCTGCATACACTATATTAAATATAACCTTGGAACAAAATGACACTAGATCACTTCCGGGTTTTCAACAAAATAGTGGGTTTAAACAAGTATAGTCCAATAACACAGGCCGACGAACAATTTTTTTGTGAAAACTTTTTTTACTTTAATAGCTGATTTTTATTGATTTTTATGTGCTGAATCCAAATCTGGCCTTAGTTTTTTTGTATCACCCATAGTTTTTCTGCAATTTGGGTTTTTATGTAGTATACATTTTTATGTAGTTTCTTATGTAGTATAAATACGGTATATGGTGAAATTAATGAAACACTATGTTACATCATAATCATGAATATATTATTACAATAGGTTACTTGAAACAGTTATACATATGATATAATACAGGTTCCATTAGTCATCTGGGATTGGTTTGTATTTTCTTTCCCTCTTTTCTTTGAAACTTCTTGTGTAGCTTTTTCTACGATGAGTCGCCTGCTGAACTTCTCTGTGAAGTGACCAACAGTAGTCCCCCATCATGTTAGTGTTCCAGCGGCCCTGATAGCGTTTTTCCATCAGTTTAATGACCTGGTGAAAACGCTCTCCTTGCTCCTCACTTACATCGCCCAAGTTTTCCGGGAAGTAATCAAGATGACTGTTCAGGAAGTGAACTTTCAGGCTCATCAAACATCCTAACTTTTTAAAGTTCTTTAACATGTTAGCAACAATAGCAACATATTCTGGATCTTTTTTATTCCCCAAGAACTTGGTAACCACTTGCTTGAATGACACCCATGCTTCTTTCTCATTTGAGGTCATTGTCGATTCAAAGTTAAGGTCTAACATCATTTTTCTAATGTCTGGTCCGACAAAGACGCCTTCTTTCAGTTTAGCTTCTGAGAGGTGTGGAAACTTTAGGCAGAGATACATAAAACATGGCCCATCTTTAGGCAAAGCCTTCACAAACTGTTTCATGAGGCCTAACTTTATGTGAAGAGGTGGTAGGAGCACTTTTTTTGGATCTACGAGGTTTTTGCGAAGAATGTTCTTTTCACCTGGTTTTAAAGATTCCCTAGCAGGCCAGTTCTTTTTGCACCAATGTTGATCTCTAGCCCTACTGTCCCATTCACACAAGAAACATGGAAACTTGGTAAATCCACCTTGTTGACCAAGTAGCATACATGTTACTTTTAAATCACCACATATCATCCAACCATGATCACAATAAATAGCCTATTTTATTCAGCACTATTTCTAGGTTTTCATAGCTTTCTTTCATGTGTACAGAATGACCAACAGGTATAGATGCGTACTGGTTTCCATTGTCTAATAAAACAGCCTTTAAACTTCTTTTGGATGAGTCAATGAACAGCCTCCAGTCTTCCTTTTTGTACTCAACACCAAATTCATTCATCAGACCTGGAATGTCTGTACAGTACACCAAATCACCATCTTGTTCAAAAAATTTTGAAAATTGTTGCTCTCTCTTTCTATACACATAAATGCTGGTTCCAGCACCCAACAAGTTCTTTTCTTTTAGTCTAGAGCCAAGCAATTCAGCTTTTTCTTTAGTTAAGCCTAGATCCCTAACCAAGTCATTAAGTTCAATCTGAGTAAACAATTTAGGCTCTACATTTTCTGTAATACATCGAAATTATTCATCATCTTGTTCACCTAACTCAGATTCTACATCATAAGATGGTTCAGTTTGAATGGAATCCAAATCATCTGGAGGTTCAGGGACCGGCATATCTTGACCGTGTTTCACTGGTCGGATGGCAGACATAAGGTTAGGGTAGCTTATTACCTTCTTATTTTTTGAGTTGTGACCAGTTACATCAACACTACAAAAGTAACAATCATGAGAATGATTTCTTTGCTCTCTCCATATCATAGGAACTGCAAATTTAAAGGATTTTTTCTCCTTTTTTGACCATTTTCTTAGATCTTCAACACATACATAACATACCTTATGCGGCGCCCAAGATTTATCCTGATCGCCAAGTAAAGTTCCAAAGTATGATCGATAAACCTTTTTCACAAAGTCAGTAATGTTTCTTTGGTGTTTTTTAATCACAAACTCACCACAAATATAACAAAAACTGTCAACAGAGTTTTTACAACCGCGGTTAGACATTGTGTTGATCACGTGTACAAAAACCGTGAAAGTGAGGTTAGATTGACAGTAAACAAACATCAGCTGTTAACGTTCAAATGGAATCTACCTTTTTTGATCTTTTAGTATGTTTCAGCAGTGCTACCAACACAATTTAAGTCCATTACCTCTACTTTTTTGATTATATTTAAACTATTATAGTATATGTTAAATTCTGTAGAAATCGCTTAATTAAAAAAATGTTACTACAAAATGTGAAGAAATTGTGGGTGATACAGCTTTGTAAGCATCATATTTGGATTCAGCGACCTGAAAGACATTAAAATAGGGTATTTTTAGTGAAAAAGTTTTTTCGTCGTTGGCCTGTGTAATTAATACCGAAACTCTAAAGCGTACGTAGTCCAGTAATTAGACCGAAGCTACTTATTTTTTATATAAAACACACTTCACCACAAACAGTCCGAATATAATTTTCGAAATACTTTGTACATTTCCAGTAATTAAATATCAAAGCACGAGCGTTCGTATTAACGAATTACTAAATCATTTGAATTCAACAAGTTTTTTGTCCATTAATTAAACACGAAGTAGAAAATTATTTTTAAAAATTACTACTCAAAAAAGTCCAAAGTCCGAAAGAACGAAGCACTTTTTACAACCCTTAGAAGAGACTTAAACGTTGATTTATCCATATATAATTTCCTGTCACAAGTTGGGTGACAAATTTTCATCTATGCCACAAGTTGGGTGACAAATTTTCATCTATGCCACAAGTTGGTCGCCAAATATATAGCATGAATTTATTTTTTCTCAGTGATTTTTAAGGATTTTGTTACAAGAAATTTATAATCATGGATAAATGTGTGTTTCTTTATTGATGGTAGTAATACGACTGTCATCTTTAAACCAACTCAATAATCCCGTCTGTATTTTTATCTTAGTTTGTGTGTTAGATAATAAACACTAAAATCTTGATTCAGTTCCAGATCAGTTTATTTCATTTTTTTTTTGTTTGAATATATTCCGCTTCTAAGGTTTGATTTACTTACTTCGATAATCTTTGCAGTTCTCTTCTGAACTCTACCTGATCTTCTGCTAATTCTATCGTGTCCTGTTTTAACCGTTTATATTCCACGCTGACAACATCATAGCTTTCGATGTGCCTAATTTTTTCTTTTATTTAGGCATAGATAAATCGTTTATTAAAAAAAATATTTGAGTTAAACCTATCTAAGAACAACATTTTTAAGAATAGTTGCTTTATTAGAAAGTATTTTATATAAAAAATGCGTTAAATCATAATGATTTTGAGAATTTGTAGTTTTCTTTGTCAATATTGTTTACGAATACATGGTATGTCAAAATTAATTTCAGGTGGTATTTTCTGTTTATGGCAAAAAATCAAATAATTCAAACAGAAGTCAGACAAGAGCTCGAAGACGTTCTTCAAGGACGTTCGGCGTCGATGGAAGATATAAATCAACTACCACTCTTTGAAGCATCAGTTTTAGAAACAATGAGAATTAGACCTGTAGTCCCGATAGGCATACCACATGGTTCCGTAGAAGAAATGGAAATTGAAGGTTATAGGATTCCAAAAGGAACTATGATCGTCATGCTACAGTGGGCATTACACATGGACGAGAAGGTTTGGGAAAACCCGGACGAGTTTAATCCACGTAGGTTTATTAATCCGGAGGGAAAGGTTGAAAAGTCAGAATATTTTGTACCGTTTCAAGTAGGTAAGTTATCTTAAAGATATCTGGTATCTCAATATACACAGGGTGATTAATTAAGATTGTTAAATCCCTCAATTGTAGATCCTAGGCATTAAAATATGATTATTTTGCTCAATATGCCTTATACAAATGTTGCTAGTTGCCGAGATACCGGGTGTTTAAAGTTTAAATTATATTTTCACAATTTCTATTTAAAAATTGACAATTTTACGTTTTTTGAGGTTGATTTTACATAAAAATTTACTGTTATACAAAGGTCTATTTATATAAGTTGGAAGTTCAAAAGACCCTATTAAGTTGTAACATATTAAATCACAACAAATCTTCTTTTTGTAGTGCCTATCCGATTCGGATGTTGGAGACCATCATGGCAATCTGTATTTGCAAACTGTTGCTCTAAAAAGATTTGTGGTTGTTGTGTTGAACCAACACTTTTGTAGAATTAATTGCAGCCAACTGTATCTTTCGCTGTTCTTTGTTCTTTGTACCCATAAAAACCTGATTTTTATGGGTACTTTATTTTTATGGTAAAAGATACCAGCATCAGTTTGTCGCAGGGTGTTCCTTAGTGTTCAGTACTAGTACTAGTAGCTTATGCCGATGATCTCGCACTGGTTGCAAATGCGAGTCAGATAACGGACATGGCTAATGCGGCTAACACAACCCTGCGTCGCATTAGTAGGTGGATCAGAGATAACGATCTCCAGCTAGCGCCTCAGAAAACTGAGGTGTTAGTTCTCAAAGTAAGCCGGGAAAATCCTCTCTTCGCTTTATATTGGAAGGTGTGGAGGTTGCACCGGTTATATCGATTAAATATCTGGGAGTATGGTTGTCGACAGAACTAAGGTTCAAAGCACACATCCAAAAGACGGTAGAGAAGGTGAACCGAAATTTGGAGGCGTTAATACGGCTGATGCCAAATATTAGAGGCCCAGGCAGCGATGAAAAAAGGTGCTAAATACAGTTTTCCAGTCGATGATAACCTACGCTGCCCCCGTGTGGTGTAGCGTACTAAACACTGTGAAATACGCTAAGCTGATGAAGACTTCGCAAAGGCGAATGCTCCTTAGGGTATCCAGCGCATATATAACAGTTTCAAATGAATCATAATGATTCATTTGAAACGGTTATTGGAGCGGTGATAGTGATCGTTTTGGTGTGCAAAGAGCGAGCGAGGGTGTATGCGTGAAATATGGATGTAAATATAGATGAAAATGAGAGAGAAAGACGCAGACGCAGACTAGACTACTTCCTGACGCAGTTTCTGACCGGACATGGTAGTTTTGGTACCTTCATAAATAGAATAGGCCGGCAGACTGTACTGTTTGTGGGGTACCGGACGCTCCCGCCCACATTTTTAAATGCCAAAGATGGGCAAATGATAGGGGATATTCCGAAAGGCGAATGGGTTTCGAGTTCGATGAAAGAAACATTATAAACACAATGTTGAAAAAAAAGAAAAAGAATGGAGAGAAGTACACTATCTGATTTCTGTGGTGATAGAAAAAAGAAGCAAGAGGACAAATGAGGAAATTAAGCCAGGGATCTGAAATCTGTGGTTCATACTATTTATTAGTTTATGACCTAACGTCTGAAATATTTTCTGATTTACGGTAATAGGTATGGATATTTAAAAATGTTTAGTTTTTTTTTAGTTGTTTATTAAGTGGCAAGACCACCTCTCTGGAACTGTGCTTTTTTAGCCGGAACAAGGTTAATCTGGTACTACCCTGGGATCTTCTGGCCTGGTATCCTACTCTACCGAAAGATGCCAGGGTGTCTTGTTCCGTGACGTATATATTCAAAAAATATTTCCTGCACCGTTGCCTGTCAGAAATCAATGGATACGTTTTTAGGCCCTTACTGGAATCTGCCATTACGGCAATTAACAACAAACTTAATTGGCAAATTTCATCGTCTTCATTGACAATAATAGTTTTTCTAGCTCCGTGTTCACTTTTAGGATGTAAAATTCCGTCTCATCTAGACGGTTGTAAAGATTTCGATACAGTTTATAGTTGGGTTGTTGATTTGAGTATAATTGTGAATATCTTCGAGGCGCAACAATTTATATTGTTGTGCCGTTGTTTGATAAATAACAATTTTTCCTATTTGTTATTTAATTGTTAAACAATGGTATATTAAATTGATATAAGGTTGAATGCTCGAATAAATGAACTTTGACAAAATCAAAGGCAGATATCGAGCACAGTTTTATTAATTAAATCTTGCCTAAGTACCTACTTTCGCTTTCTAGAGCATCTTCAGAGCCATTTCGTCAATTTTGGCCTATCCAACAATCATAGAATGTCATAAACATAAAATTGTACATTACAATACACTACACAAGGAGAAACAGTTTAAATATTTTTTTTAATAGGTGAAACTACATTATGGTCGCCATCAGAAGAGATAATCAGAATTCTCTCTCTTGTTCTCTCTCTCTATTGTGACCATAATAATGCATATATTAGGGATTCTTGTTATGTTTTGGGTTCTTGTGAAATTATTAATAATATTAATATATTATTGGTATGTTGAGCAGAATCATCATATTTTTAGGTCTAGAATCTAAAACTTAGAGATGAGATATTCTTAATGAATCATCCTATACATATATAAACATTTTGCTAGGAATATTATCTAGTTGGATATATCTAATCTGATTAATTTTTATTGCTTTTTTGCTCTATGTTTGACTATTTTATATATCATCAATTCACCAATTTCTATATATCCGACCTAATTTCTTGCTACTTTTTAAATACTTGTCTTCGTTTGACTACATTCCTAATATTACTATCGGCATTTTTCCTAACTATATTAATGCTTCCTTTCATTTTTGCCCAAGTTTTTCCCTAAGTAAACCTTCTTTTCTTCCATTGTTTAACCTCCATTATTTGATTTTGTGGGCCCTCTTCGATATGTTTGTCTACTTTGGTATGTTCTCTTTTTTGGAATAATGTATTAGCAGTCGCCATATCTGCGTATGTCCTTTATCATATGCTCTCAGGAATGTAAGTATGGTATGGGTAAGAAAATTGAAGCTGTTACTATTTGTAAATATACCTTTCTTAGATCAGAGGACAACAAAACTGTAATTCATTTTCCTTCTTATGTAAGTTATAGTAGTATGTGGCATATAATTGTTTCATAATTTCCTAATCTTGGGTTGATGAAACTCTTAAGCTGAAGCTAGTACATTTATTTTAATAATTTTTGAATTATGCTTCATCGTATTAAATTTTTTTATCAACTTGTAACGTTACACGCGTCATATATTTGTTATTTCTCTTTAAATAATTATTTTATTTTCATTTCTTTTAATTTTATTCATTAATTAACTTGACTCATTCATTTTACTATGTCATTCTAAAAACAGTTGGCGCTCAACTCTTCGATCTTGACTTTTCTCATGTTACTTCAACTCTGAAGAAAGGGAAGTTATCGTTCATCTATAAAAAAGCATGCTTCAATTTAAAATTTATTTATATTGGTAAATATTTCTTGGGTTATTTGTCGTTAATAATTTTTTCTTGTCCATCTTTTGCTGAGACATACGCTAACCACATGGATGAAGCTTCCTAAGCCTCGAGGTACCTCAGTGGGACTTTCTGAAACACATGCAATAACAACTACAGCTGCATTTCAGAACTTAATTGGCACCTGCAGATACATACATGCAAGTATCTAGATTTAGCTAGATCTTCCAACAACAACTACATTCTACAATCCTATATAACTACTTAAAGACAACAATATTAATGTGCCATCGGTATCATTTTAAAATCTTTTGTGTAAAGCTTTAGGTAAGGTTTGCTTTGTAGAATATTAAAATTTCAATTATACTTTTTTATAAATATAATTAGTTAATATCTTAGTTTATTTTCACAGCTAAATTAAATTTTGAGATTTAGAGATTTACTTCTAAGATAAGACATTCTCACACCTGAGAGATCAAGTTAGACGAGATCTAACAATTAGCTTCAAAAGAAAGTTGTGAGTTTTATTGTTCTACATTGGCTTCCAACTTTCGGATGTAAGCGCATCGGCAGCCACCGTTTCTTATGGGTAGTTCGATGGTTACACATTGGCGCCCAATGCCTAAAACTTAAATCTTTAAGGTTATAAAAGTTATATTAACATAAAAAACTGTTTACACGAAGCAACATTTGAAACAATGGGATACTACATAAAACCCAAGGTAAACAAACCATACTGGTGGGATAAAGAAATAAAGGAAGAAATACGAGGTAGACCGAGAAAAAGTTGGAGCAAAGGAATAAATAAAGAATTCAGAGAGAGGGCCACAGAAGAAGACCCATGGAACAACCAGACTAAGTGGCGATTGGAAGTACGACAAGTAGTAGAAGTAGGTTATAAAATGGCGCTCCAACGTAACTTATCTTATTTGTCGATTTGTATTTTAAGTTTTGGTTGGTGACAAATAATTCACAAATATTAATAAATACTGTTCAGTTTTTCTTCAAAACTTGCTATTTAGATATTTTTTTATTAATTTTAAAATATTTCCATTTTAAATATTTCATTTATATTTTTCTTCACTTAACTAGTGTTTTTGTGTCCATCTTTAACACCTTTATTCACTTTTTGTAATTGATTTTTGTCAAGAGGCTTCCAATTGTACCTAAACAACTTAAGACAGATGAATTGTCTTATGAAATTCTTATTAGAAATTATTCTGTTTCTAATACGGTTAATGAATGAGAAAAATCATTTACTGACTTCTTTCACAAGAAGCTGCTAATCGGAGTTTTTCTTTAATTTCTATTTATTTAACACTTACTGTTTATTATGAACAAGCTTTAGCTTCTTACAATGATCTTTTACCTCGAGTAACTGATTATTCAAAATCTGACACTATATTTAAAATCTTGACTTCTCGGTTAACCCATTTGTCTGGTCGAATCTCAAGTCTGCAAATAACAACTGCATCTACTTTGGGTAGCTTTCTTTAATTGCTTTGTTAGTATATTTCGAAAAACCCAAGTAGAGTAGATACTTTTTCGATTGAAGTGGGCATACAAATTTCATGTTTCACGACATAGAAAATAATGGGGTCTGAATAAAGGAATTAGAATGTTAAGTGGAAATTAAAATTATAACGCTATAACGTTTTATAAAACAAACCATTTTACTAAGGGTCCAGGTTTTATTTTTATATTATAAAGTTGCCTCTTTTCTAGGTAAACGGATGTGTGTCGGTGAAGAATTGGCACGAATGTTCTTATTTTTATTTACCTCGACAATACTCCAAAAGTTTTCATTTAGCTTAAGAAACGAAAACTTCGATACATGGGGAGAATGCGGCATCACACTTACACCTCACGATTATAAATTGATTGTAGAAAAAATTAAATAGTTTTACAAATAAAGCTTTTTTACTTTTTTAAACATATTTTTTATTTTCCTTTAAACTTAGCGGAATTGACATTTAAAGTCTTATATCTTCGACAAAAGTATTCAAGTAGTTTAAAAATGTTTTTTTTTTTTTGTTTATATTGTTTAAAATTATATTGAGTAGGAATCATCGGCATAATATACAAGGATGGAGCCTATTGATATTTTCACATGTAACTGATAGGCGACGGTACCGACATCACATTACTAGCTACAATGCCCGACGTGAATTTGACAGATGACTAATTATTTCCTGATATTTTATTTATATATCTAAAATTTTTAATATTTTGCATTCAGTCACATCAGTGGCATGCGATGAGCAACTACGTACCTATACCTTTTATATGCTTTTATGTTATAAATTCCGGAAACAAAATCGGCCATTGTTAATAGCAACTTTGGCTGCAAGTATTTATTCATAGGCTCCATCCCAGAGGGGATATGGCATACGGTGAAGTAGAAGGGTTCACTTCAGCCATATTGGAAAGTACTTTCTATCAAATGTAAGTTATCACACTAAGCCCACAGTATTAATATATTACCCAAAACTATGTTGAAGAATCGGAATTTTGCAAGTTTTGGTGAAAAAAATTTACATATAAAGGTATCGTAAATATAGCTTAAATTAATTTAAATCCTACCTACCCGTCGCCATATTTGATAGTACATAGTGTCTAATTAAGTGGTCCCATTTGGTAAATATAGAAATATCATGTGTGTCATATCCCCTCTTTTACATATCTCTGCTCCATCCTTAGTATATTGCATCGTTGGTAGGAAGAAACTATGATAGCATTTTTCATATAAAAATGCTTGCACGTCATTCAAGATTTACGACGTCAAAGCCTCACAGCGTTGCCAAAACATAAGAATAGTTAGTAAGTGAGGAATTTTTAAAATGTCAACCATTTGTCAAACTATTCTATTATCAGTAAATGCCCTTAGTTTTAAGACTACTGCAACACACTGAAATACATAAGAAAACATTTTAATACAAAATTATATATTCTAAATTTTAAACTTACCTCTTTGAGGGCTTTAATAGTAAAAACGTCCCGCCAATAATTCTTGTTCAAAATAATCTATCTTATATGAAAGCTTATAAGCTTTCTACAGACTATTTATTTGTTTTGGCATAGCACAATCACAATACACAACAATAATTAGTTTTTAAAGCTATTAATCTAAATTTAATATGTATTTATAAATAAAATTTATAAATATATACTATATTATGATCAAATTGTCTAAGAAATCAAAACATAAACAAAATTCTTACTCTAAAAAAGCTGTAACACTTTATACACTTTTGCCACACGCTGAACTGTCAATAAAATTTGAAGTATTCCCGTATGATTTGCGTACAATTGTCTAATCTATTTATTTAAAGTTATTTTGTGGAATATTTTACTTAAAGAGATATTTTACAAAATTTATATTATTAATAATATCAAATGTTTTTGGTTAGTTAATCAATATAGTCAAATTTCCTCAAATTTCCAATATAATGATAACATTTTTCTGATTATTGCATCATGTTGACGCGTATGAAAGATCGAGCAGTTCTGTATGGGTTTCATATTATTAGCTGTATTAGGAACATTTGACTCTCTATGGTATCTCAACTCTATAGTTGATGTTTTGGAAATTTTAAATATAAGTGACGTCACTTTATATAAGCACTGTGACGTGCAAGCATTTTTATATGAAAAATGCTATACTCCAGTTTTGTCAAGTGCACATGAAATGTCATTATTCAACATTTTGAAATAAAAAAGAGGGGTCTAAGAACGAAAAAAAAAACTGTAATTAAATTAAAAAACTGATGTATTTAAATTAAATTCGTTAAAATTATTAAATAACAAATTATACTTAACATAAGTCTTCAAAGTGTACGTAAGCATGAACACTAAAATATTTATAAAACATCTTAATAGCTAATACGTTGAAATATCAACTTCCACAATTGAACAAGGTAATACGAATCCCGGAATTTTGAAAATAAAATTCCACTGGTATGCAAAAATATTTATAAAATAAGAAAGAAAAGTCATTTTATAGTAACATACTTCAATAATTATGATTTTCTTATTAAAAATACATGAGTTGGCAATATTACCCTAATATCACTACTGCTTTGAATACAAAAGGATTTAAATATAAAGAACACCTTAAGGTATTATTAAAAACGTCTGCATTTAACTACACGTATGAAAGACATTGCAAGAAATTTTGTCTTAAAATAATCACATCAAAAATTTAAATAATTTAGTCAAATAAACAAAACTAACCTAAAAATATTTACGTAATCAGTAAATGTCACTCTAAACAAACAAACAATGAGTATATTGAAAATAAATTGCAAGAAAGTTTGCCTTAAATGATTTTTTTTAATGACGTTAATTCAGTTATTTAACCAAAACTAACCTAAAAATAATTACATAATCATAAATATCATTATGATTTCAGTTAGAAATAGGTAAAACAAAACCACGAATATATTACTAGTTTGTTGTGTATCACGCAGACATTTTTAAAGTTGCATCAGAAATTTAGCATATTGCCACAAAATATCATCAAGCACAACACAGGTAACATGTTCTATGTAAGTTACAGTCGAATTATTTTGGTTAACAACCACAAAAATAATAAAAAATAAAAATGGTCGCATAATGGTAAACAATGAAGTAACTATGCACCGATATCGGAATATTACAATGAGATGATATGCCTGACTAGTTAATATACTTAATACTATGTGATAATTGAACACTTTTGCACAGCCGATCCTAATCGGAGATCTATCATTCTTATTCTGTTTTATAACCGAGTTATATTTACAACAAAATACCGCGACAAATAAACGCCACATTTTTATTACTAGAAAAAATTTTATGGGTATGAATGATGTATAAATCATAGACATTTTTATTATATGTCTATGATATAAACATAGACATTTGTATGCTATGTCTATGTGTATAAACATAGACATATTGTGTATAAACAGATACCTAACCTCAAGAATTTTTAAACTTCGTTGTTATTTTCTTATTACTAGTCAATATATTAAATAAAAGGTTTTTATTAAAAGAACAGAATATTACTCAGTCTTGAGTATAGTAGTAGTAAGTGAGTTACAAAAATTATAATGCTACTTTAATTTTATCACAGGTTTTCGAACTTTTACTAAACTATATTTTGGACTTTGATTTATATATCTAACTATTAGGTCGGCTAATAGTAGAAGACTAGGTTTTATATTCAGACTCAGTTGTTTGTCTTCGTGGACGATCTTGATTCGGTAATATAGGGCAAGTGGTATGCTCAACTAATGAATGTCAAACGAATTGTAAAGGTAGTGGATGGAAACTACAAAAAATCTTAATCTAGGATTGCTGCAAGTTTTGAGGATTTATAAGGACTTAGCAAATGTTACGCCCAGACAAAGGTTCTGTTCTTTCAAGCGATGTAAGTTTCTAAAATAGTAAGAAAGTACTTCTTTTTATTATGAGAAGAGTGCTTGAAGGATGAAGCGCGCTTGAAATGTTCTGTTGGAGAGAAGTTACAAATTCCGTGGACCGACCACAGGACAAATAAATTCAATTTTAAATGGGCTAAGTATCAGCAAACTGCTCTACAGCAAAGTCCTTCTCAAAGAATTAAAGAATTAAAATTCTTTGGACATGTTATGAGAACAGATACAGAAATCATGATAAGACTAATTATCCAAGAACATGTGGAAAGCTGAAGAGCACGAGGAAAATCTCCAACCAGATAGATCGACTAAATTACAGTAATATGCAAAAAACCTATGTATGAGTTAAAAGCATAATCAGGGACAGAGATCTTTAGAGACGGACAATATACGACATCACAATGAATACTACATATCTCCTGGAGGGTCAGGACTAAAAAGGGAGATTATTTTTACCCATAAGAATTTGTCGTGGTGAACGGGTTACTCAGCTTTGGTTATGGTAGAAAGTTTGTTTGAGCCTATAAAGTGACTCCAAAAACGTATGGTACTCATACATTGCACCTGTGAAAGTTGGTAATGGGTCTTAGAACTTTGGGATGGTTATCAAGAATGAAATAACAAACGACTTTTTGAAAAATTAGCTCAGGAAATACCGAAAACAGTTTATCGACGCAGCGAGCAAAAGATTATATATAGGTGTTCTTGCAATAATAGTTCAATTTGACAAAAAAATTGAGAGACAAAACTTAAAACGTAAAGGAAGATTACAATGTGAAGACCATTTATAATAAAAGGAAGGGGAAATGGAAACTAACCACACAGAAAAGTAAATGAGCAGTCTAATATAAGAGTCAAAACAGTCTATTGTACCATTTTTAGCAAGATATGTTTAAACCAACTGTAAAACAAATATCAAGAGAATAAGCTAACTTTTATTTAATATATACAAACTTAAGTAATCAGAGAATTAGAAACTAGAAATGTAAAAGAGCAAATAAACTACATAAAGAATTAACTGAAGAAGAAAAATATTGAAAAATACAAAAATAAAGTTTTTTATTATTATTTTTAAAACAGTTGACGTTTTTCATAATCTTTTGAAATCCAATAAATACAAAACTGAGATAACACCGAATTGAGTTCCAAAACTATAAGTTATGCAAATGTAGTAAGAAATCCAATACACAAATTGTTATGGATTTGTCTCAAACCTCTTGATAATGAGAACTATAAAAAATTGTGTTTTGTTATTGTAGATTTTTTGAGTTTAGGTATCAATACTATAAACGAATTAGTTAAACTCAGATAAACGTTATTTGTCGCAGTATCTTTAGTAAGTACCGCGCCCAATCGCTCTGCTCAAAACACAAAACAAGGAAAATCTTGTACTTATAACACTCCGTCTCTTCGGAATTAGGAAACAATTTAACACCGTGCCCTGAGAACGACTTGGACATCTCGTAGACGCTTGGTAAAACCCAAACACCATTTTGTACTTTTGTTAGTTAACAGCTGCTTCAGTTGCCTAATGGCTACCAGCTGGCCTAATGTTAGGCTCTTCGTTGTTCCAAGCCATCGGCCTTGGTGTGAGCGTAACTTTAAAGGCATTGGGGCTGATGGTTACACCCGCAATACCTTTCAGACTTGGTAACGTTTCTCCCTCTGGTACGGAAATGTCAAAGCTGTGAAGAAGCGAGGAAAAGAAGAGGAAGAGTTCCATTCTTGCCAGGATCTCACCAAGGCACATCCTTCTTCCGACTCCGAAGGGAAGAAAAAATTCTGGCTTGTGGACTTTGCCTTCGGAGTTTATGAATCTGGAAGGATTGAATTTTTCTGGCTCTTCCCACAGTGAGGGATCCATGTGGACGGCATGGAGGAGCGGTACTATTTGCGCATGTGGGGGAAGATGGAAACCGTTAAGTTTGGTGTCTCTGTAACAAAAAACATTTAAATAATAACTTTGTATTTAAGATAGATGATAATTTTAAAAGCAAATATTCAAAATATGGATGGAAAAATTATTACAACTTTTATCGTATGTTGTAATAAATGATTTGTTAAATGAAAATAATATGGTACTAACAACTTCCATGTCGTGCTTTGCTTCTAATTTATTGTAGACATGTGATGGCTCGGTTATTTCCCCACGAACTTTACATAATGCTAAATTGACAAAATTTATGGACCAGACAAGTTGGTCCAAACCACACTTAGTCGATTTTTAATTCCACTTACATAAGTTTCTTCGAGAGTGCGTATATTGAACTTATTACATAAACCCCTGAAGTTATTGTCTTAAACCATTTCAGCAGTATTTTGCGTGTCGTTACGAAATTCCTTAAGAAATCGTCTGTGAATGACCAAAGTTCATTGACCGAAAAATATAAATTATTTTTAGGCTGTTGACTTTCACTTTTTTGCAGAGACGAATTTTAAACACAGTTCCAAATTCGGTACGTATCGTATCGACGCTTCGGAATGCATCTAACTGTTTATAGTGCCGTATGATACTCAAAAATGGTTTATTAGGCACCACCGCATGAATAATAAAACTATATTTTGAAGGATTACTTAAGCGAAGGTTTTGGTACCACAACAAACCGCGTTCAGTTATAATAGTCTTTTTGTACAGCTATAAAAAATATATACATTTTACTTCTTAAATGTGAAGTTTAAGTATATATTGACTTTGATATAGAAATTATTAGACAATTAGAAGATGAAGGATCAGATGTAGTTGGTAAGATCTTGTTGGTTATCAAGGTAAACGGATTTAGAAGGTGTTTCTTGTTTATCGGCTTCCTAATTTTTATGGCATTCGATCAAATAGCCTTCTTTGATATTTCTAGAACATGTCATTTTTTATATTTGCTCTTTCGGGGTTTTCCTTGGTCTTTCTTATATCCTGCTACTTGACGGTAACTATTTCATGATTTGTCAGCGTTGTGTTGTCCCTTTTTTATTCCTACGTAATCACATTAATTTTTTTCTTTATATATTTTACAGTTTTTCATATTTGATTCACATTTTTTCATTTCGTTTAATTTCTGCAAAATATTTCTGTTGCTTCAATATTTGCCTTATTGTTTTGTTACACACCAAATTACCGTGCACCAGACTGCATCGTGTGCTTTTCATAAGTGATTCACATATGTTGTATTTCCAAAACCTTAAATTAAAGTATAAAAAAGTATATCAAATTTATCATTATTTCATATTAAAAATTTGTTATTAGAAGTTACGTAAAGAAATATACTAGAACTGTCAGATTTTAAGTTTTTTATAGTTCTGCTTTAAAATATAGTGCAGCGGCTGGTTGTTCTGGTAAATAACTGTTTAAAAATATTTATTTTTTATTTATTTTTCACCTTATAGGGGACTAATGTATTATATCTTTTTTGTTTTACTCTTGTTTCTATTAGAATTATTGATACCAAAAAGAACAAAATTGCACAAAATGCACAAATGAACAAAAGAGCAAACATATAACAAAATGTATAACCATTTTACTTACAACGTCATCTCAACTTTAGTTTTATTATACGATAAAAATAAAATAATAATATTTGAATTCGTAGACTGATTAAAACATGACTAATCAACTTAACTTTTTAATTTTAAAACAACCTTTCAGATCACACCTTATCGATAAATTTTTACTACCTATTCAGTTATCATTCCAAAACAATTATTAAGATATTATCTAACAGGTGAATGAACTAATAATAGATAACTTTACAAAATCGTCGTAATTTAAAAATCGTTAGAATTAAAATTAGCATGTACTATTTAAAATAAATACATAATGATGAAGTTTAATAATTAAAAAAACAAACAAGGTGTCGTTACCTAAACGGAGATTGCAATTTAAAAGCAAATAAGTTTCATTTTAGTTATTCATAATCTATTTGGTTAGATGTTTCACTTGACAGAAAGGAAATATTGATCCGAATGTTAAAAAAATATAAAGGTTAAAGGTAAACTATTGCTGCAACGAAAAAAAAAATGGGGTAATTCAAGAAGAATTTCAGTTGGCATTAGTGAAGTGAATACGATAGGATAGTTGTTGCTTCGTATTGAAGTCTTATAAAATATTTTCCTTAAAATATAAATTTTATAGCAAAAGAATAAGTGAAAGAGAAGAATGAGTGGAGCAATTGATAGAATTTGTCATGGGGGAACAAAGAGCAATTATATTTTTATAAAATTGAAATTCTTTTATTTTTATAAGAAACAATTATATACTTGGAAATTCTAATACGTATCCGCAAGCATATAGTAAGTAATCCAATAGATTATATTATAAATAAATGCTATGAGACTTTAGTAAAAGCTGATCCAGTAGCAGACATAAAATCAGATGAGAACCCCTTCACAGGTAAATTAAGACACAACTTCGGACAAGAAAATTCAACTAACAAACATAGTGTTTTACAAAATAAAGCTTTTAAAAATAAGCAGACAAACGAAAATGTTCTATTACATATACAAGAGAATTTAGGTACTGATGCAACAATCAAGAAATTAGAAGGTGAGAAAAAATTGTAATAAATTAAGCAATTTTAGATAAATGTCAACACGCAAAATTAAATCGAATAATTAAATTTTAAATATGATAGTATACATGGCTCTCAAAATTTTTCCCTCGTGTCATTTGTGAGTCCGAATATCATTCTCAGGTATTCATAGTGACCATTTTCAACGTTAAATGCAGTCTTCTAGATATCTTCTTCCTTAATTTCAATTTGATGGAATCCGCTGACTACATCTGGGTGGAAAAGTATTGGCAGCGTCCTAGTTTGTCCAGAATGTCTGTTATAATTGGAAATGGATGTAGATCATCGATGGTTTTCTCGTTCACCTTCCTGTTGTCGACAACTATTCGCCATTTAATTTTTCATCTGGTTTCTTTAGAATGAGCCACATCAGGGCTATTGATTCGGTTTGATGATTTCTTGATCGATCATCCTTATGGATGTGTGGATCCCGATTTGACTTAGTGTAAACCGGAACTTCATCTCTTGTTCGTATATGGTGCTTTATTTGGTTAGTGAATGTTAACTGACTGACTGAATGATGAAATATGCATGATGCAAACTTTCTACACTGTCGTCTTCGGTGAGATTCTCCTTTTGTATTAAAATGATCGGTTCTTAGAAAAGGATTGACATCTCTTAGATTTATTGGTTGACTTTTGATGGGATCAATTATTGCTACTTAAATATATTCATCGGTGTTGAATTCATCGGCAAGTTGATTACATGCGACGGTGAGAGTTTCTCTTAGGATACCATCTTCGAATTCTTGTCTTGGGATGACGATTTTACCCGATGTTTCTTCTACTAGCAATTTGACTTGTATAATTGTTTAGGGCTCCTGGTGGACTGTATAAAATTGGGTTTCATTTGTGACTTAGTAATTAATAAGAAGAATAGAATGCTCATTAGTGAGAGTAGCTTGGGTAAAATCGAGATTTGCTTTCAGAAACCTTAAGATTAAGACCATTAAATGTATTGTGAACTTTGAAAAGATAAAATTTTAAGTTACTATCCGAGTTAAATTTGGGAAAATATGGGAAAAAATCTAAATATGATGATATTATCAGCATTAGAAAATGATGTCATCTGAGCCACTTCCTAAAAAAAGATTTTAAAACAAACCATAACAAAATGCTCAACAAATATAAAAGTATTACAAAAACTCATTATTTGCTATCAAGATTCTGTTCCAATGATGTAGACCTCAAATGCCCTGTATGTTTCCGGAATGTATTTTTTATAGATAAAAAAAGGCATTTAATAGAATGAAACATGGCTTGCTAATAGACTGCTTTATAGAGACTCTGTAGTAAAGAGCCTGAAGCAGTCAAGGGTATTTTGCATGATTGCCAAGCATTCAATTAGAGGTGGAAAAACACTTTTTGAACTACCAAGTGACTCAAAAAAATATGGTACCTATTCTCTTGACTTGTACAAACTGGTCAAGAATTATAGACTAGGTATCATGAATAAGTGGAAAATGAAAGCTAATTGGCTGCACTACGACCGGCTTATATTATACAGCGTTCCTTAGATGCATTAAATGATGAGTTACTTCAGTAATCAACAATTTCTACTATAACCAAATAATTGGCTGTTTAATAAGTTTTGCGGTTCCCGAAATTATCACTAGCCTATTTTTTACATTGGTGCACAATTCATTATTTGTTTATAAACTAATTAGTATCGTCATGTCACAGTATTTTTTTATTATATCGTGCAATGAATAAATTTTTATGTTTGGAAAAGCAAAGGAAATTTATGAGCGAATATTAAGAGCGCACAAAGACTCTTCGCCGTTAATTAGTACAGTAGAAAAATGGTCATACAAGCCTTGAAGATGATCTACATCAAGGACATCCAAAAACAGCACTGACACCAGAAATCGTAGAAATAATAAAATAATACAGGATATCGTATTGGAAAATTATTAAGTGAAAAGAGCTTTAGTAGAAGCCCTAAGTATCTCATTGGTTAGTGTAAGCAATATTTTGAGTGAAGTATTAGGTTTCAGAAAGCTGTGTTCACAGATGGGTGCTGCATTGGCTAACAATGGAACAAAAACATATTTGAATGCGACTTTCTCAAAAACATTTAGAGCATTTTCGAAATAATAAAAAGGATTTTGTGGTTTAAGAGTGGTTTGATCCTGGTTTTTCGGATGTGTCCATTTCGTGTCCAGAAATTACCCAACAAGGTTTTAGGATCAGTTGTTTTGGGGTGCAAAAGACATTTTGTTTATGAATTACTTGCAGACTGGTAAAACAGTCAATTTTGAATATTATTGTAACCTTCTGAGACCAGTTACAAGAAAAAATTTGTGAAAAAACATAAAGTTTAAAAAAGAAAAAAAAACACTTTTTATCAGGTCAAAGCACCGTATCAAATGAGCATTTTGGCAACGACTAAGAGCCATTAATTAATGTTTTATTTGTTAGAACAGCCACTGTATTTACCAGATCTAGCTTTTATCATCTATTTCAATCCATAAAAAATAATTATGCGTAGAAGGCATTTTTTATCAAATAAGGAGGTCATAACAGGTGTGAAAGCATATTTTGCAACCCTTCTAATAAAGTGTATTTTAAACCATAGAAATGTGTTTTTCTAATCGAACTGCAAAACTTATTGAACAGCCCATTAGCCAACGTAAAAATATCAGGTAAAACTGATCAGTTAAAAGTCGAGTTCTATCCTTAAACTCTATAACATGTTCCAATATTTTATATATAAAACTAGCAATATATATTTTATATAGAAAACTAAACCTACCTGACTGGAGCATGCGTAGTACCCATAGGAACAATGCTGGAAATTCTTAGGACTTCGTAAATGGTGGATTCAGTGACAGGCAAATACGTCAGATCTTCTAACTTCGGCAACCTCTGGCGACCAATAACTTGATCCAATTCTTCTTGAACTGCCAACATTTTATCGGGGTTGTGTAACATAAACAGAACAGCCCATTGAAGTGAACTTTTGATAGTTTCCATGCCAGCGGAAAACAAGTCACCCATGATCTGTTGCATTTGACGGTCTGCAAGAAAAAAACATTATTGATATAAATATATGACAGATAGCTATATTTTTCCAATAGTCTTCTCATAAATCAAATATTGTGAATTTGTGAAAATGAGCATAAAGCATATCCAAAGAAAAAAGCAATAAATTCATATACATTTAGTAAATGTTGTATTACCAAACCTTTTTCTTAAACAAAACTCTAGAGAAACAGAAAAGCAAATTTTAGAATTCAAAATATCGACGAAAACGAAGATAAAAGAATGAACTGAACAATGTAAGAGAAAGTGAAAGGAAAATGGTAAAATATGAAACAGTTTTAAAACAAAGACTAAAGGAAAAATAAATTAAAAATAAGCAAGAAGATAAATATAAGAAAGAAAGTTTTGTATCATACTTTATAACTAAATAAATTTATATTTACCATGATCTTTTCCTTCGAACAAATGATGGCCAGTACCCTCTTCATCAGCTTTTTGAATTTCGTAAAGATAAGTATCAAGAAGGTCCCTCATATGACTAGGATCGAAGGTTTTTCGGTGGTCGTCAATAGTTTCTTGCAAAAAACGTGCCATTTCTTCACGGTTCTGAAATAAATACAAAAATATATATATTACGTGATTAGGGCAATTTTTAAATAATGGCGAAAGTAACTAGTGCATTCACCAAAATTTTAAAACTTTTGAAAACTAATATTGAATTTGAATTTGCATTCTATGATAAAAAAAAAATATATCTTACTCTGGCAATTTTTTGTCTGGTAAGGGTATATCCGGGCAAATATCTGAGAATTGGTATGAAAATAGCTGCTTCCAACGAGCCAAACAGTCGGAATCCTTCGTCAATGAGATTCATAAATCTAATGAACCTGCCGTCGTTATGGGAGAACCTCACAGACATCAAAACATCACAGATAACATTGGAAATCGACACGGCGAAGACTGGATTCAAATCCACAGATTGTCCTTCGCGATCTTTGAGAACAAAGAGGAAATCTTCAACTTCCGACATGATGCGGTTTTCCATTTGAGTTTTCCTAGAAGATAGATAGGACATGCCGAAATGGCGAAGACCGTCGTGGAGGAATCTGCGCTGGTCTTTCCACAGCTTGCCTGCTATGTTTATTACTCCTGAAATAAACAAAATCATAGATATTTAATAAGTCTTCCAGTAGAGTTTCTTTTAAAGTTAAAAAAATATTTAAATTGTTAAATCTGAATTAAATCTATGCTGCTGCGATTGCGAACAAAGTTTGTGTAACCGTTGTATAGCTATTTAAATACACGGCAGAAAAGCCAGCAGCAAAAAAAACTTCAAACGTTGGCCAAGGTCATTGCGAAACAATATTGCATTACTGCCAACCGTACAAAATAGAACAATACACGCGATCTAAACAATAAAAAATTTAATTAATTGTGTACATTATAACTACGAGAATAATACCACAGTAACAATTAAATTTAATACTAAATTTATTTATATTTAATAATGTATATTTTAAAATAAAAGTATTTATTAATTTGTATTGATAGTGAAAAAATTGGAGAATATTAAAAAAAGAACGATAAGAATCGAAGAAGGAAATTGATAATTTGAACGAAAACTATAATTTGTTATACTCTGTATACAAATACCCTCAACTTTTTGACAGAAAAGTTTTCTTTGATATTTTTTAACTGCAAAAGAAAAGACCTTAGTTTAATCTATTTTAATTTTATCGAATTGAATTTTGATAAGCTCGTTTTTAGCATATCGAAACTACAACTGTTTTTGGATACGAAATGCCATAGAAATTAAGGGCTAAGAGAAGCCCATATATTTAGAAATATATTAAAGATCGTAACCATTTAAAAATATAAAAAAAAATTACACATTCTCGACAAAAATTAAGAGGATAGTTGTAAAATAATCAACTTAACAGACCAGACATGTTCTTCATTCAATTCTAGTTATAATGTTAACGAAACTTAATGCAAAAGGTAAATGCTCGTAAGATAATGAAATTGTGTTTATGATATTAAAAGAAAACAACAAATAAAAATGCAAACAATGGTCAAAAGTGACAAAAACACATTTGTTTAAATAAAAACTTATATCAAGTCAAAAATGTGAAATGTCAATAAAAAACGAAAAAAGTACCCAGAGCTCATATATAGGGTTCTTTTCAAATTTGAAGGTCAAACGATCAACAAAGAGAAAAGTATGAAAAAACAATTGGTACCTACTTATATCTGATAAAAAACAAATTTTTGTGAATATCAATGAGGTAAAGCACGAATTTAAATAATTTATAGACAAAATATCTTTCAAACGAAAAAAAAACCTTTAACAACATGAAAAACGAGATCTCTAAAATTTTCAAATATTTAATAACCTGGAGTTAACTTTAAAAAAAGGAAAACCGGTTGGAATCTACAAAATATTTATTTAACAACAAAATAGTGTAATTACTTCTATGAGAAAAATAGTTGACGTTATCTGAAGTAAATACAGAAATAGACCAATGTCTTTTTAATCGGAAAAAAACATCGCAAATCAATCGCATGCCAATCTACAATTTTTTTCCACCGTGACATAATCAGTGTTGGCGATGAAACACATAAAGATTCTGCAATCAACAACAATAACGATTAAAATTATCTGCTTCAGTTTTTCTTCTTTTTTAATGATTTTAAAGTGGGTTAAAGCCGATATGATATCAAAGCTGAGATAACGAACCGACCACTTTTACTAAAGATGTGACCTGTGAAGGCCACTACAAAAGTGTGTCAATCATATACGAGATTTATTTTTAGACGGTAAGACAATCGAGTAAAAAATACACCACCGGATACACAAAGATTTGAAACAAATTATTGTTAACTTTTTTGTAAACAATTTAAAACAAATTAGAAAAACATGTAAGTAAGAAATCACAGATACAATCGCAGCTCACGGAAAAAATAGCAAAAATTTGAAATATAGTTAAATGTATTAAAATTATTTCGTTTATATTAGTACTTTTCCTATTATTAGATTAAATTTAAATATTTTAACCCTTAATTAACATTAAAATAAATATTTAAATAAATCTCACAAAATTAATAGTTTGTAAATTTGCAATTTTTTCAATATTTATATTACTCAATTTTGTATGTATACTCATTTAGTGTTTAGTAATAGCTTCTTTAATGGGTCAATGTCACCATTTAATTTTTTAAAAACCCAATAATGTTCTTATGTTTATTATGTGTTTGATTACAAGTGTCTAACGAATTAAAACCAAATAAAAGAACAAAACTTTTAATGATTATTTTCAAAAAAAAAATTACAAGATTAAAAAATATATAGTATGTTAGACTTACCATAGCCTCCTAAAATATTGGTAAATTCATTGTGAGGTCGTCCAGTAAAATCATCTTTTCTAAACGCGTCCCGAATCATCTTGTAATCACTCAGAACCACTATTAACTGAGACCCAAGTCTAGTCGATATGAGCGATCCGTATTTCTGAGTAAGATCTCTGTAGTGCAGGTGGAGATCTCCCTTTAAAAAAGGAAGAGATCCCAGGATGGGAAGTCCCCAAGGTCCTGGAGGCAGAGATAAAGCTTCCCTTAGCATCTGAAGGGCGCGAACTAATAACAGAACCGTAACGAACACAAGCAGAACATTTGTCGAGAATTCTTTGACCGCGAAATTCCAAAGCATCATCGTACTATACACAAACATTTTTTTAAAATTATTTTTTAAACTTTTTGAAAAAATTAAAAGATTTACGCAAAATATCAAGAAGCAATGCACAGTGTCTACAAGAGCGTCATTGTAAGCAATGCTTTTATAGATCAGACTACAACTTACTTAAGTCGATGGATTGGGAGGGGTTAGCAAGGAGGAGCGATGATTCTTGGCCAATCGGACGGAAGACCTGCACCCCTTCTCCTTGTGAGCGGCAAGATGCACTTCATTCATTAATTTTTCAGTCGAGAAAGGAAGGTCGAAGAAGTATGTGTGTGTGCTTCGGATATTTTTCAAGTTGAATCGTACGATGATTCAGAGGAACAACAATCCGATAAGGTTTCAAGATCAAGTTCATTGAATGACCGATTTTATTCAGTCAGCGCTATCGAATTGGGGCAGGCTTTATCTAATTCATATTTGATGTTACACACGGAATTAGGGCAATTTACTTTGCAGTGGACTATTGAACCCTGTTTTTTATTTGTGAGGCATTTTTGGGGGTAGGTTAGTGTTTGTTTATACATTTAACACAGTTCGCTATATTCGTTTGGTGTAAAGTACATTCTATCAGTACTACAGTTAATTATTTAAATACGCGTTTGGAAATGTAAGAACAAAGGTAGATATGTTGACTTTTTACGTTTGCTCTGTTTTTTTCTGAAGATTTTATTAAAAAAATCAACAATTTGTTCACAAAATTAATTTTTGTTTAACACTTCACATATTTTGTGTTAAAATGAGTTCTAGTTTACTGAAATTATTCATATTATAATTATATTTTTCTGGTGATACGTTTTATAT